TTATGCTTTCCTTTCATTCTCTGCCCAGCCACCCAGTACAACCATCCAAATAACTGAAATACTCGGTGTTTCCTGTCATAGGGGAGTGTGTCCGTGACATTACTTTATATTATTATTATTATTATACAGAATTCATATAGTGTGAACAGTTTGTGCATCTCTTTACAATATATGGAGGACATTACAGCTACAATACAAGTCAAGGCGAAATGGTAAGGAGAGCCCTGCCCACGAGAGCTTACAATCTAATAGGGAGGGGCAAGTGATACATAAAGAAATAGCTGTGTGGGGATGAATTGATTAAGAAAGTGGTTTTTCAGTGGTTAGTTTGGGGCGCGATAGGCTTCCCTGAAGAGATTAGTCTTTAGGATCGCCTAAAAGCAGACAGAGTAGGAGACAGACAGACAAGCTGGGGTAAGGAGCATGGGAGGCGAGCATGGGAGAAGTTGATGAAGGAGCTAGAGAGCAGGAAGACTTGAGGGGAGCGGGGGGTGGTTAGGGTGATACTTTGAAATTAGGTTGGAGATATACCCGGGGGCAGAGCCTGTTTGTAGGCTGCCCGCAGCTCAGAGGAAGATCCGGTTACAGGCAGATGCGGCTTCCCAAGATCGCTCTTGCTGGGGACCTCAACAGCCGTATCTGTCATTGCCTTATCCTCCTGCTCCTCCTCATCCTCCAGCTCCAGGAAACTGTGCTTCCTGCCTGCAGACCCCTGGCCAGACACCATAGCCCAGACAGCCCACCTGATGGTCGCACAGCCCACCTGAGAGTCTCATAGCCCACCTGAGTGTTCCAAAGCCCACCTGAGAGTCGCATAGCCCACCTGAGAGTCACACAGCCTACCTGAGTGTCGCATAGCACACCTGATAGTCACACAGCCCACCTGAGTGTCGCACAGCCCACCTAAGTGTCGCACAGCCCACCTAAGGGTCGCATAGCCCACCTGAGAGGCGCACAGATTACCTGAGAGTCACATAGCCCACTTGAGAGTCGCATAGCCCACCTGAGAGTCACACAGCCCACCTGAGTGTCGCATAGCCTACCTGATAGTCACACAGCCCACCTGAGAGTGCCACAGCCCACCTGAGTGTCACACAGCCCACCTAAGGGTCGCATAGCCCACCTGAAAGTCGCACAGCCCATCTGATAGCTGCATAGCC